TATCAACACATAACATTAGGAATTATTTTAGGAACTATTTTACCAAAATTTTATTTTTACAGCTGAACGAACTGAGGGACGATAAGAACGTGGGATCGATGGTTAAATCCGCATTGGCAGTTGCACATAACAACTTGGAATGGTCCGAGAAGCATTTGACTCAAATAATCAAATGGATAAAAGATCAACAGGATTCCAAAAGTGCTGGTACCACTACAGTCGTAAATACCTTGAGTACAATCTCGCTAACAGTATTTTCAATAATGGTATATGCATTTAGTCAATAAATACGTACATATTATGAATCATAACTGAATAGGAATAAAAAAATACGTATTATGAACCATAACAAAATAAAATGTATATAAGTGCTCGTTCATTATATGAATGACCAATCTATTTTAATTTTCTGTTACCATAAGAGTTTTATTTTTATAACCGGGTTACTCTTATACTATTGTAGATTTTATATAATATATATCTTGTGTCATATACATATCATATGAGTGAAGAATGTAAAAGATTTTATTTTATTCAAGAAACGAAATACAATATTTATTATACAACTTCGCATTTTAATTCCAATTTTTCGCAAACAATCCTGTTTTATAAACAGGGACTTCAATAATGAAAAGATATAACGAGGTGCTTATACAAACATACATATAAAGCACGCAAAGGACGTCCGCGATATGAGTAAAAGAATGCACATGAAAAGATTGATCTTACAAACTGCAAGAGCGAATTATTTAAGTGTAACGCATACCGAGAACATTAACACATTAAGTGTTTAAATAGAGATTACAAAAACGAGGTGGTTTGTGCGCATATAAATTGACCCGCCTATAACGACCCGCTTGACGTGTTGATAAAAGTCTGTAATCTTACACAGTGTAATTGAAGAAATGATAATTTCAGAGCCAGTTTGTCGCGCTGAGGATTCGAGATTCCTGTCTCAACTCGTCTTTCAAAAAGTTTGAACACTCATTACCCTATACTATCTAAATAATACGCATGTAAACGTTCCATTGTACATACACAGGTGTACGTTTAATGCTCAACGAGTATTTACAAAAACATACAAAAACGGTTAATACCTTGTTTGACGAATACAGGACGCAGTTTTGTGCGATCTACGTATACGATTAGAACGGGAACGCGATTTATCGAACGAGGGGTGTTTCAATATTCAACCCGGGACAATTCGAGCCATCTTCATGAATGTGACATTGTGCCACCGTTACGCCGTTCTGTTCTTTTTCAACCAATCTTGGATTGTGTCGTGGCTGGCGTCCAGCCATCGTATGTTCGCCTCAGCTTGTTCTATGGCCTGCTGCACCGATCTCGTTGCCGTTCCAAACTTTCCTATGTGCTCCTTGGTGAAATCGAGTAACTAGAAAATTATATTTTTCATCATTTAAAGGATGATTCTAAATGTTAATAAGTTTAATTTAATGTTTTATGTTGATGTAAGATTTGAAAGACTGAAGTTCAAATTGCACACGAGTCGTTTAAGAGCCGTCAAAGAGGAACAACTCTATTTTTTGTATTATTGAGATTTTTGATATCATACCATGGGCGGATAGCGGACTAAGCTGCCGCGTGGGGCCCCGGAGGAGCCAGGAGGTCTAAAAATATCTTAACTTAAAGATTTTAGAAATGACTAAAAAGGTTCAAAAAAAGCTCCTTAAAATAACCAAACCAATCTAAAAACAAAACGTTAAATTTATGACCTCTAAACTGTGCTCTTTAACTGTTTATTTCAGTAAATGTTTAATAGTGACGCGAAGTAGAACGTACTTTAATAATATTTTGTACAAGTTAGTTTTGCTAATAACGGAATAAAAATTAGGAAGCTCTTAAAATATTTAAATTAAAAAGTTTTCTAATCGATAATCGAAGGAAAGATAAGTTTAGTATTAGAG